ACTAGTTAGTAGTACTAGTAGTACTAGTAGTAACTAGTGATGGAAACGTGAACGTCCACAGTTGGCATTTCGACACATAAGGCGAACGTGGAGCAACGACATGTCAGACGTGCTTCTCAGCCGAGGAACACGACCCTGACATTGCTCCTCGACTCCGTGCTCACGGAGGCCTTTGGGGAGGTAACGCACTGTCCAATTTAGCCAGCCCAGCGGTGTGCCCAACCCTCTGTGCCGTGAAGTGGATGGCTGTCCCTTCTTGGGGCAGGGGCGGGTCATGTTTCGTCCCTTGCATGGATTGATGCGAGTACACACGAGACTGACAGGTGTAGCTTTATCGAAGAGATAGCCTGAGAGCTTTCGGATTGTGACATTGGAAAAATCGGTCATGAACGATTTTGGAAGGTGTGGTTAATGTCCCCAGAGTGCCTGCGTTCTTTTTATCACAGTAGGTCGAAGATAACCTGCTTCTCAAGAGGACAAGGATCTCTGGGACCTTCATCACTTTCTAGTTTCACGGTCGAAGCTGAAGCCTTTATGTAGACGGCAGGACCCCTACGAGTTCGAGCCCTACCACCAGGCGGTTCGAGGCCCGCTGCGCTGTTCAGATGGCCCAGGATTTGCGTAGACTGTTAGACGTCAGTGACCTACCTAGGACATCCGCTTGAATCGCCGGGACTGGGCGAACCTATAAGGCCAACCCACCGGGCAGGTCCCGAGCTGGACTTGTACAGATGGGGGAACAGCTTCTTCCGGCCGATGATCAAGTGGCGCCACGCTTATGTCGAGGCTTCCGGTGGCAGGTAACTTTTGACACACAATCCGTGGCTTGTGGTGGTAGATTGTATTGCAATGCAGGCACACAAATTCAATAGAAGGGATCATCACCTATAGCCCTCCTGTCGTACTCCTCCGACACCACTAGCTATATGTAGGCCCGAATGCAATCACTAATCGAGTTCCTAGCAGGCGAGTGTTGATGAAAGTGAATGCGTGCAGCCCCTGGTGGCTCTGTGTGGCGATGCAGCTTCACGGTCTGCAGTGCAGAAACTGCTTTAGGAGAGCCTGTGGCCGTAAAGGGAGCTTTCAACTCGAAGGAAGGGCCCGTCTGAGAGGAGAGGAGGGGTCAGTGGGTGCAGGGTGCAAGCCTTCCCGTTATGGGTTGCGTTGCCGACAATGTGTGGATGCAGGGCCGGGACCATCTGGAGTCCATTCGTCAAACCATTGCGAAGGGGGACAATGTAGTCTCTTGGCGGCAGAGAGTCGGCGCCCGAAGGAGGGATTGAAGTCAACGTCCCTATGACAGTTCAATTCCGAAGCTGCGAAACCCGTGCCGGGCTTAAGCCACTCCAGGTGATGCTTGCAAACCACCAGACCGAGGCAGATCCGCAGGCGCGGAAAATCAAAGCTTGTTTGCCTGGTATACAATGGTTTAGGACGGTCGAGGCATCATATTGAGTCCTTTTTCAAGGTGGGTTTGACTGTTGTCATGTTCGTGGCCTCTGCCTGCAGGTGCTATCCCTACTACTAGAGCGAGAAGGTTGCGAAGAAGTGGCAGAAAAGTGCATCTTGAAGCGACTTTTGGAACATCTTATCCCAGCAGCCTTGTAAGTCAGATGGAGCCGATAGCGGGGTGTACCCCCCCCTGTTGTTGTTCTTGTTCCTCCCCTCCCAACCAAAAACGACAGTAGCCCCCCCCACCCCGTGTTGTTGGTCTCCCCGCACCCCTTCTTCCAAACAACGACAAT